ACATGGGCCAGTGAAGCAACATCCTCCACAACTAGACTGAAGAACAAAAGGACAGCAACTTGTCTGTTCCCCTTCCCCGATTCCCCAACACTGTTGTTCCCCTCCCTCAATTCCCAATAAAATCTTAAAAAAAAAAAAACTTTCCAGGTTAGCTAAAACAGGACTACTTAACTCAAAATGCATCTTTAACATAATAAATACTGTGGAATTATAGAACCTATAACCTGTTATGGACTAAATTGTGTCCTCCCCAAAATTCATCTTGAAGCCCTAACTTCCAAAGCAACAGCATTTGGAGATAGCGCCTATAAAGAGGTAATTAAGTTAAATGAGGTCATAACGGTGAAGCCCTAATCCAACAGGACAGGTGTTCTTATAAGAAGAGGAGGAGGGACCAGAACCATCCATTCTGTGGTATTTTGTTATGGTAGCCTGAGCTGACTAATAAAGGCTCTTTATAGCATCATTTTTAAAAAATTAGAGAATGTTTTTAGTTTTAACTTGAGATATCCTGGCCAGTTATAGTTCTAGCATCAAGAAAAAATATTCCCCTTCATTCCTCTACCTGCTGATCAGTAAAACTGCTGGTAGTCTCAGTTCCAGCACCTCTGGGTTTTTGGCTTCTGTGTCTTGGTAGTGGGAGTGGAGGGCAAAGATGAAAGCTTTGGGATTGGTGTTTAGTGGCGATAAAAGGTGAGAGAATGAGGTAAGGTGGAAGAAGGGAGACAGAAGAGGAAATGAAGAACTCTAGTCGGATGAGAATGAACACAGGAATCAGGACATTTGGCCTCAAAATGCAACTATGCTCTTTACTAGCTGTATGACCTTTGGAAAGTTATTTAATTTCTCTGTGGTTCAGTTTCTTCATGTGAAATATTAGAAATAGAATAGAAATAATAAATTTTACATTAGGATTAACTAAGGCAGCATAGATGCAAGGGCAGGGTAAATGATGATGTTCAAATTCATTAGCTGAATTACGAGCATAGTTGCTCTGATATACTTATCTACAGTTTATATTATTTATTTACACAATTCTTCCCTGTTTTAGAAGTATTCAGAAGCCAAGAAAAGGGTATGATCTTTGAAATCATATAGATCTGTGTTCAAATCCTAACTCTGCCACTTAGAAACTATATGACACTGGGTAAGTTAGCTTCCCTGAGCTTCAGTTTCAAATTCCTTAACATGAGGCCAATAACACTCACTTTATATGGTTTGTAAGGAATAAGATAGATCAGGCAAGTAAAGTGCCTGACCAAAGCTGAGACTTAATATTGTGAAGATGTCCTTTTCTTCATAAATTAAGTGCATTCTCAATCCAAATCCCCATAGAATTTTCTATGCAATTTGACAAACTGTTCTAAAATTCATCTGGATGAGAAGATACACAAAAATATCCAAATGAAAAAGAACATCAGGAGAATTTTGGTATTATATATATGGAAATAGTATAAAGTTAAGTAATTAAATCAGTGTGATATTAGCATAGGTATAGACAAATAGATCAATGAAAAAGAATGGAGTCCCGAAACAGACCTACAATATATAGGGATTTTGCATATCACATAAACATAAGGGTAAGAATAGACTATTCAATAAAGTGTTGGGCGAAGGCACTGTCCTTAAAAAACAAATTCCTACCTCATTCCATATACAAAAATAAACCCCAGGTGGATTCATGTTCTAAAAGTAAAAGACAAACAAACAAACAAACAAAAACTACCAAAAGAAAAAACACAGAACATTTGTAAGAGGGCTGGGGAAGACTCTAAGTAAGACAGAAAACTCAGAAGCCATCAATCTCACTATAAAATAAAACAGAAAGTGCATGTATTTTAATCTTGTATTGCAATTTCTTCCCATCAACAGTAATGAAGTGAATCCCAACCTCCAATGTGTATTGTAATCAGTATACAAAAATATTTGCAAAATTAAAAAACAATTTAAATAGTCTTACAAGCATAGAGGAAGATTGTGGCAAAAAATATTTTTAAAAAGGCAATTTCTCAGGGTGGCCAAGTGGCTCAATTGGTTAAGAGCACGAGCCCTGAGCAACAGGGTCGCCAGTTCGATTCCCAAATGGGCCAGCGAACTGCCAGATGGCTCAGTGGTTAGCAACAAGGTTTCTGGTTGGACTCTCACATGGGATGGTGGGATACGCCCACCCGCAAGTAAAATTGAACACGGCACCTTGAGCTGAGCAACTGCGAGCTGCCGGATGGCGACTGGACTTGGAGCTGAGCTAGCTGTGCCCTCCACAACTAAGATTGAAGGACAACAACTTAGTTGTTCCCCTTCCCCAATTCCCCAATAAAATCTTTTTAAAAAAGGCAATTCTCATGTTAATATTAAATACAACGAAACAATTTCCTACTGAGTAAGTGGACACCTTAGTGATCTAGGATCTAGTAGTTGTGACCTAAATGCGAGCGGTTACAACCACGCACAACTTAGAAATATATAAAATACAACAGAAAGTTCAATTTAAAAACAAACATATACTATGCTCCCACTGTGAAGTGAATTCTTCAACAGTTCACAATCATTTGCTTAGGACTAATGATATTTTAAAATGTTGAGCTTAAAAATATCACAAATAGGAACTCGAACTACATGAGGTAATCAGGAGGCAAAGCAAAACTTAACTGCTATGGTATTCAACATTCTAAAGAAATAATTCAGTAATTCCATAAAGAAGAAAAAAATGCACTTAAGTGGGTTTTTCCTTTTTTCTCTTTTGAATGACAACCTTGGGATTATGTTTTAATTAATACGTTAACAAAGTATTTTCAAAAGCTTTATCTCGATTTTATTCATCTTAATGGCTTTCAATTAGCACTTGATTTCACAAGGAGAAACAATTTATAACTTATTTACAACAGATTCTGCATCTGTAAGTGTCAATCTTGGAATGGAAGAGAGGTACTTCTCAGACACACTTCCTATCCTTTCGTTTTTTTCCTGAAGATCCCAGTAAGATCGCCTCTATCCCTATCAGGCTTATTTCTGGCCACTGTGCCTTTTCCACCAAATTCAAAATTTCACTCCTATCTTCTCGTCTCTGCAGTGTTTTTTCTAAGTTTTAATAACGAATTTTACTGTTGGCAATTATTAAGAAATTAACAAGGTTGTAAAAGTAACAAACGAGAGGAAAGACCTTAAGCTATCTACAAAGTTAAAGATCTAGCACTAAAAGTTATCCTTATAATGTATGCGAAAAGACAAGATCTGTTAAATCATTCTATTGGTCTTTCCACAAATTCTAGTTTTAAAACAAAGCAAGCCTCCTATTGCCTAGTTCCTTAGTACTCAACAATACTACTGCACTTTGGTCATTCTTAGAGAACAGAGTTTATTCCAAACTTTTCTATCTTTCAGAGAGAGGTAGGTCGGTAGAGACGGTTAGCCTAGCTAGGTCTCAGGAAGATACTCATTTACAACTAAGAGAAAACGCCAGGTTATCATCTCACACTCCTATTTTACTGTAAGAACTCTTCAAACGTGATTTTGTCTCTGACATCTTCAAAATTACTTCCACAAAAATAAAACTCTGGAAATCTAACAACGCGAGGAGCTTGCTCTGGTGAGAAGGAACTGAAAATTCTTCCCTCAAAAGCGGGAAACGTCGTGACGTCTAATTTCTAATGAGCGAGATGAAAGACCTTCAAAATTTGCAAAGGTAGTTTGGCGGAAAGAAACCCCCTGGTCACTAGAGAGGTCGCCAACCCTCTGGTGCGGGGTTGAGGCGGGAGCACCCAGGACTCCCAGCCCAGGCAAGCAGCGGCAAGATGCTCCCGGGCTTTCGGAAAGCCGCCATGGAAGATAGGCCCGGCATCCTCAGCGGAGAGCTTATCTCGGGTCCGTCCCCGCAATCCCGGCGGGTTCGTCATAAACACGCTAGGCAGAGAGAGAAGCGCGGCCGAGGGAACCGGTCACGCAACTGTCAAACGAAGCCCACCCACCGCTTGACGGTCCCCAAGGCGACAAGCCTTCCCGGCGCGAAACACTCACCAGTTGCTTCAGGAACGCGACTACAACTCCCAGGAGACGACACGGAGCCGCGTCCTTCCCAGAATGCAGCACGGCAGCGTCCCCAACTCTCCTCCTTTCTTCGCTCCTCCTACTTCTCTACCCTGCGTCACCCGGGAGGGCTGGAGGTAGGGCGCGGGAGGGACCCCAAGCTTTCGGCGTGCTGCGTCAGACGTTGGGAGGGGGACGGGGCGGGGAGCCGGGGGAGAATGGGAGGACGTAGAGGAGGGGAGAAGGGAGGGGAGAGTAAATAGTGGGCCAGGCAGGAAGATGGCGGCGGTAGCGGAGGTGTGAGTGGACCCGGGTCTCTGCAGCTAGATTTTCTCTTCCCTTTTTCCTCCCCCTCCCTTCTCTGTTTGAGATTGGCATCAAGCGGGCTGAGTTCGGGTGGCGGCGCTGGGCGCAGCGCAGGGGTCACGGCAACGGCGGCGGCTGACGGCTGGAAGGGCAGGCTTCCTTCGCCGCTCGTCTTCCTTCCCCGGTCCGCTCGGTGTCAGGCGCGGCGGCGGCGGCGGCTCGTGGGGCGGACTTCGTCCCTTCTCCAGCACCCCTCGGCGCCGGAGCTGGCACTCTTCCTTTCGCCATCCCTCGACATTTCACCCCGGGGACTGGGCGCCTCCTCCGGCGCAGCTCAGGGAGCGGGGGCCGGTCTCCTGCTCGTCTGTCGCGCCTCCATGTCGGATAACCAGAGCTGGAACTCGTCGGGCTCGGAGGAGGATCCGGAGACGGAGTCTGGGCCGCCTGTGGAGCGCTGCGGGGTCCTTAGCAAGGTGAGCAATCGGCGCGGCCAAAGGCCCCCCCTGCCCAGACTCACCTGCCGCGAAACGAGCCGCTGAGGACATGGGGTGGGGCTGGGCGGGAGGCACGGACTGTCCCGGGGCGGGGGCTGCGGAATGTGCCGGGGTGCGTTGCTGAGTTCTGCCGCAGGAGTGCCGGGGCCACGGGTTGGAATGGGGAAAGGGGTAAAGTGAGCTGTCCTCCTTGCAGTGGGCAGCCGCTAAGGGCCGGGGAAACGTGTGCTAACCCCAGATCCAGTTTGGGAGCGGGATGCACACCAGGACTTGGAACTGAGGGTGGCAGCTGTCCCGGGTATAGGAATCCAGGTTGGGTAACAGCGGTATCCGAACAACTGGGAGCGATGCAAATCGGACCTCTCAAACGAGGTTAGTCCGGGTATGCCGAGCAGAATAGGGTTGGGGGTTCTGGGGACACGGCTGTTTAGACAGCAGCCGGAGCAACGAGACTTGGTGCTGAAATCCGAGGGGGTAAACTATGCCAGGTTAGATGTAGGGAGAGATCTCAGTGAGAGCTTTTGTACTTTTCCCCTCACCCTTTACCACAGTTCAGAAAAGAGCTATTGAATCGGCATGTGATAGGTACAAAATGTATTCATAGTAACTTGGAACATGTCAGAATGGAGACTGACCTTTAGTTCAGAAAGAAGAGCATTATTTAATAATAAAGTATTCTTGCAGTCAGAGGGTCAGAGTAAGGAAATGACATATTACCTTTCCTGTATTTTATAAAATCCCTTTTTGAAAATTTTAGCGAAACAGTCATTTGTAGGACTCTAAGGCTAATTAGTTAAAATGGATGAGGCCCTTTTTAAGAGGGAAGATGGGTGATTTTTTGCTAGTACATGGGGGCTTGGGTTTTTGTTGGGTTTTTTTTCCTTAAAGTTTTAATATGAGAAGAGCCACATTGCCTTTTTTTTCTTTTCATTTCTGTCTCCCTTACTATTAAACTTCTAGAAATGGATGGAACTAGCAATTAACCTGAAGAAAGGGGAGCTAGGGCATGTCTCTCAACAAGCTGGTCATGAGATACTAGGTCATGTGCAACTCCTGGCTATTAAGAAATCACCCTGCTTCCAGTATACATACTTTGGCTAAGCATTTGGACATCTTGGAATTGTTTCGTATTAGGGTTTTATATTGTCTTCAAAAGGCTGGTGAGAAAGGGCCTTAAGAAGGGCATGAGTATGTCAGAACTAAGGCTTACAAGTGTTAACCCCCATTTACATAGAAGAAAAATTACGGTGGTGTGTGTTAATACTGTGATCATTATTGGAATTTCAGTGAAAGGTTTTCAGTAAACTGAAGCTCTCTAGGCTTTAGATTAAATGTATCTTGTAATTTAGGAACCTGTATTGAATACATTGTGTAATAAACATACATTTCAGCTGGAATTATTATGCGTTCTTTGCTTTTCAGTGGTCCTGGTAGTTTCATAAATTTTCTCATTAGATGAGAAGCAGACTTTCAGATTAATATTGTGATAGTGTTAAGTATTTTACAAAACAAGCTGTGCTTTTGACCTATTGACAGTTTTCGGGGATTGTTGTGACTGGTGGAAAGAGTCACTAGTGCTCTGAGTATTCACCTTATGCAGAGCAGTGTAGTTGGTATACTCTGGAAGTGTGGGGGGAAAAATGGAAGAATGTCTCTTTGATATGTAAATGCATAGAAATGCACTTTGACCGCTTCTATGGTAGTTAAGTAACTTCAGTTTTGCTGCATGCTTAGATCAACAGGAATATAGATTTTGGTATTCTTATTAACTACTATGAAGGAAATTTTCCTGAAATTTAATAATTTATGATTATATATAATGTTTTCTGGAAACTTTTTAATCAAGAGCATTTTATATTGAATACATGTTTTAAAATTTAAAGTACATATATGTTTTGAGCCCTTTGTGTTCACTTGGTAATTTAAGAACAAGTTAGAACTCAACATCTGTTCTTTTTTCCTTTTTTGAGTAATCTAGATAAGTCCCACTATTAATTTGATTTGTTTCTTAAACCAGTCCAAAGCTTTTTGCTTTTTTTTCCTATATGGTAATTAAAATACATGGAAATACTTATGAAACATTTTTTCTGTAGAGTTTATTCTTAAGCTCATAGGTTCCAAAAACACTGGCTAGACAATAATTCTAGTTAGCTCTAATAAACATCAGGATTAATCATGGTTGGTAAAAGCTTCATGCCTTAGTAGGACTTGAGAGCAACTAAAGCCTGGGTAAAATAAATCGCATCCAGCTGCTTCTGAATTTTCATCCTTTGAGGTTTACCATATCTTTTATTTCTCCACACACTTAACTGTTGGCTAAAATTCTGTCCATCATTAGAGTCCAACTCAAATACTGTTCTTTCCATGAAGCCTTTTCTTACTTTACCAACCATTCCAGATCTCTTTCCCCGAATTACCATAGCATTTTATTTGTAACTTGCTTCTCATTCTTATTTTAATGGTAGGTTGTTTTTGTTTTGTTTTGTTTTTTTAAGTATAATTTGCTGAACTATTGGGAGCAGAAGTCTTGGGTTCTCTTGCAGTGTCTTATATTACCTTGTCTCTCGTTGTTAAATGGGAAGAGTGAAGGAACTTAAGAGGATAGAGAATGGCAAAGACCTGCCTTCTAGGTATGATAATAGTTTAACATTTACTGAGTAAAGCGTGCCGAAACTTACGTAATTTATTGGGTCCTCTGTAAGAAAATAATATAAAATTGTGGACACAAATTGCTGGGGCCTTCTGTCACTTTGGAAAGAATCTGTCTGTTCTAGTGAGCTGCGCAGCTGAAGGTTAAGCTTCATTAGCTATGTGGAGCTCTGCCTCCAACTTAGGAAGTACTATGTGCTTGGCAGTGTGCTAAGTCTGTTCTTATTTAATCTTAACAAGTCTGAGGTAGAGTTTAACAGAGAAACAGGATAAGCAACTTGACCATAGTCACACAGTTACTAGCCTTCTGAGGAGCAATAATTGAAAGCGAGGTAGGATTAAGGTATGCCAGTCTAAACAATTTATATTATAGGCAATGGGGAGTTGGTCATGTAAGTTTTGGAGCTGAAGTTTCAATGAGATTAATATGTAAGATAAGGAAGCAAACATGCTTACTAAATAAATAAGATTATGTAAGTTATGAAATAAAAAGCAGAAGATACTAGAGATAAGGTTATAGAGCCTTCTCAGAAATCCAGGAACCTGATAATTTGATTGGATTAATTGAAAATAGAGAAGAGGAGACAAATGTAAAGGTTTAATATGAAGGAAAGATGAATAGGAGCTGGTGATGGGCTGTAAAGATTGAGAAGGAACAGTCAAGTATTGAGTGTCTCCTATGAATATAATTGGCATCTTCATGATTTTATTGAGCCTTTCAAAAATAGGCAAAAAAACTGAAGCTCACAAAAATTAAATAACTTGTCAAAACTCGTTATGCAACTAGTAAAGTAGTTAAGTGTCTGATTTTGTATCTCCCACTCCGTTAATACAATACACAAACCCTTGGCCAGGTTTGTGTCTGAATGACTACAGAAGTCAAGGAAATAGTTTCGACTAATAGTACAGAAGACAAGAAATGGGAACTTACAGGAGAAGGTAAATTCAGTTTTGTATGTAAGCATCATTTCAAGTTGGGGTCTAAGTGGTGGTAAGTTGCAGGGAGTTAGAAATAAGGAAATGGTGATTAAGGAACCCTTAGGAAAGAATGAGTTAAATTTCCAGCAGGATGAGCTCTGGGGTGTGAGAGTGGGGGTGGGTTTGTAAAGATGGGGTTTAGAAGATTAAAACATGAACCATCTCAAACATGCTGAATTAGGGAATAGGAAAGTAAAGATTTCTCAATGGGTGAAGAGCCTGAGCCAGTGCAGTACGTGTATTTTTAACAGTCCATTTTGAATTAGTTTTTGGCAGATAGTTTTGGAGTTGTCTATACTTTAAAACCTCCAGAGCATAAAAATATGCAAAATCAAGAATTCCCATAGAGGATAGATTTCTGCTGTTGGAAGTTTATTGATTGTGATCTTCAGTGTGCAGCAAGACTTTAGCAACACAGAAACCGTTTATATGAAACTGGAAACAGATAATCCAAGTATGTTTTTTGAAAATCAGTTTTGTATTTGTGTTATTACTTTGGGGTTTGAAAAGTAGTTCAGAGAAACTTGAAAATAAGCTATTTTAAATACGAAATACTGAGTTTGGAGGAGAAAAGCAAGTTGATTAGACTTACTAAAGATTAATGATCTAGTATTTTTACTTTGATGTAGTTATGAACAGCAGAAATCTTCATATAGGAATAACTTACAACAAAAGTACAGTTTGGCTATGATTTACTTCATACTTTGTTGATTTAGGTTTCATGCATTACTTGTTGGAGAATGACAGACTATAACCAAACTTACGTTTCTATTGAATATGTTAATTATGGCAGGGACCAAAACAATTTAAGTATCATGAAGGTGGTGAGAAGGGGGAGGATGAAAGCACACAAAGAACAAAATATAATTTTTTAAATTAATTTTTTTATTGAGGTAACATTAGTTTGTAACATAAATTACAGGTGTACAACATTATAATTCAGTATCTGTATACTTTATTGCATGCTCACCACTAAAAGTATCATTTCTGTCGATTACCATTTCTCCCTCCCTGCACCTCCCTTCCCCTCTGGTGACCACCATTCTGTTATCTATATCTACAAGTTTGTTTTTATTTTGTTAGTTCATTAGTCACTTTTTTGTTTTATAGTCCACATATTAGTGAAATTGTGATTTTTGTCTTTTTCTGTCTGATTTATTTCACTTAGCATAATACTCTCGAGATCTATCCATGTTGTTGCAAATGGCAAGATTTCATTTATCATGGCTGAATAGTGTGTGTGTGTGTGTGTGTGTGTGTGTGTGTGTGTGTATGTGTATGTACACCACATCTTTATCCATTCATCCATCAGTGGACACTTAGGTTGTTTCAATATCTTGGCTATTGCAAATAATACTGCAATGAACATATGGATACATATATCTTTTCGAATTAATATTATTATTAATATATTCTTTAGATAAATACCCAGAAAAGGAATTGCTGGATCATATGGTAACTCCATTCTTAATTTTTTGAGGAGCCTCCATACTGTTTTCCATAGTGGCTGCACCAATTTACAATCCTACCAACAGTATATGAGGGTTCCCTTCTCTCCACATCCTCTCCACACTTGTTATTTCTTGTCTTTTTGATAATAGCCATTCCAACAGGTATGAGGTAATATCTCATTGTGGTTTTGATTTGCATTTCCCTGACAATTAATGTTAAACATTTTTTCATATGCCTGTTGGTCATCTGTATGTCTTTCTTGGAAAAATGTCTGTTCAGATCCTCTGCCCATTTTTTAATCAAGTTTGTTTTTGGTGTTGAGTTGTATGAGTTCTTTATATATTTTGGATATTAACCCCTTATCGAAAGTATCATTTGCAAATACTTTTTACCATTCGGTGGGTTGTCTTTTTGTTTTGTTGATTTCCTTTGCTATACAGAAACAGCAGAATTTTTAACTGAAATCTGCTTCTGTTTTACTTTTCAAATGTTAACAAGAAAATTTTATACTTTATATCTATTTTATTTATGATTTGGTAAAAATGACTGAAAACCATTATACAATCTAGGAAACATCAACCTTCCACTTTTTATATTCATTTTTACTGTTTATAATTACATTTGGAGTTTTCACATTTTGCTTTTAAAGTTAGAGTCATTGTTATTTCAGGAAGTTTGGATTTCAAAAATACTGACTTGTTACTTATTGTTTTCTTCTCCCCTCCCTCCCTCCTACCTCCAGTGGACAAACTACATTCATGGGTGGCAGGACCGTTGGGTAGTTTTGAAAAATAATACTCTGAGTTACTATAAATCCGAAGATGAGACAGAGTATGGCTGCAGAGGATCCATCTGTCTTAGCAAGGCTGTCATAACGGTAAGTTTTGTTCTCCTCATTCAACAAATGATAAATACATAAATAAAAGATAAATGAGGATCAGCTACACACAGGGAACTATTCTAAGTGCTTCGTATACACCTGTGAACAAAATAGATAAATACTCTTGCTCTTGTGGAACATACAGTCTAATACTTTTCTTCCATAAAGTTATCTTAGAGTGTTTATTACTGCATACTATTAATAATGACATGTAATATTTATCTAATTGGTATAGCAAGCCCTTAAACAATGTCTTCAGAAAAAGAGATGTTGGAAGATTCACATCTGTTGAGATTGGGACAGTTACTTGGTAGGTTATTGAAAACATTAAAGTAGGAAAATTAAAAAAAAATACATACCTTAACATTTTAAAATTCTAACTTAAAATATATAAACCTATGTTTATTTGCCAACTTTTTCATGTCGACCAAACACCATCTCTTTGATGTGAAGTTGAGAGAAGTTGTTCTTGTTTAAACTATACTCATAATGCATAATTTGCAATTTCCAGTTTTGATTTCCCTACAGGGGGATAAAAGCTTAAAGATACTTTTTGAAAAACCCTAAATATAGATTCTTTCTGGCTCGTTATGATTTTCCTATTATTTCACAGATGTCTCACCTTTATCTAATGTGATATCTTTTAAAAGAATGACTCACTTAGTTTACATAGAAACAAATCTCTTTTTACTCTTGTATTCCATATACTTACATAGTATTTCAGTTATGTAAGGAGTACAACACGTAAACTGGCATAAACAGGTTTGGGAACAACCAGCATAAAATTCAACTAGTGGGATCCTAAGTGCCTGAATATACTAAAAATAGCATGCTAGTTAAGAGTGGTCAGCATATTGCATACTTAATAAAGGGCAAAAAAAAGTGTTAGTTAAGGCAGATCAGTTAAGTGAAGGTCAATTAAGATAGTATTGTAGTTAAAAATCTAAAAATGGGTATGTTAAAACGTAATCATAGATTTTTACTGATAGATTCAAAGAGAATTCACATGATGATAGAATGTATGTTGATTATAAAAGTAAAAAGTACTTCGGATCTGTGTTGCTATCTATACCTGACTTACATATGTTTATGTTACATGTTTAAGAAAAACCTTACATTATTTTCCCATCATTTTTCATACATTGTGCCACTTTTGGACATTCAGAGTTTGAAAACAAAAGCTTAGTTGAATTGTCTTAGGGACAATTTTTTAAAAATATTTTGAACATAAAGCCTCAGTATTTATTTTGACTGGTATGTGGTACATTAATAGTGTATTTTGAAATTGTATTTAGTTTAGTATTTGGGGTTTTATTTTGCTTAAGATTCATGCTAGAGGACAGAATAGTAGATAGCAATATACTTTCTTGGAAGTGTCTTTCCTAGGTTCTTCCCCTCCTCTTGCGTATTGACATATGTTTGTTAATTTCAGCGCTTGACTCTTTGAAAATAATATGTTAATGGCTGGTGTGAAAATAGGAGGGAATGATATTTTATCTTTTTTGTTTACTAAGTAGTTGTACTCCTAGGGTATCATGCTAGTTTATATGTACAGTTAAGTATACCGTATTTGCCGGCGTATAAGACGACTCGGCGNCTGAGCCACTCGGCTGGCCCCTTTAATTTTTAAATTTTTAACTAATTATTAAACTAAAAGTTTATTAAGGAAATACAAATCGTCTGTTGATGCTGTTATTTAAAAGAATTGTATGGTTTGGGGTTTTTTTTGAGAATCTTCTACAATTGCAACACATGTGATTTTGACTAAACACAGCTTCTTAATCATGAAAGACATTTACTTCCCCAACCCTCAAAAAAAAAAAAAAACTAGCAGGAAGGCTCTCCTGACACTAGCAGATTAGGAAACATGTTGAAAAACTTAAGTTTTGTTGGCTCAAAGTTTGTGGTAATTATGATATTCCTTCATGTCCACAAGGGAGCAACCTTATTAGATCCTGAAATTCTGATGGTCGTGGACCACACAGACTTTCCCCTCATTTTGGAAATTAGCCAAGACATGAGGAGTTACAGGAAAATGCACAATTAGAGAGGAAGGTTCCAAATTGTAATTTTTACAGATGTTGATTTATCTGTAGTGGGAATCTCCAGGCAATTATTGATTTTTTTTCTTTATTTTTTTAAATTAAAAAAATTTTTTTTCAATTACAGTTGACATTCAATATTATATTAGTGTCAGGTGTACAGCACAATGGTTAGACATTTCTATAACTATGAAATGATCCCCCCGATAAGTCTAATACCTATCTGACACCGTACATAGTAATTACAGTATTATTGATTATATTCCCTGTGCTATACTTTACAGGCATTTGTTTTGTAATTTATTATTTATGAATTTGTCCTTATCCTTTGTGAAGGCCCACTAATTCATATGTGACCCTCCATTGAATACTTTCAGAAGAAACGTTTGTTCTCAACTAAGTTTCGGGAGTTCTCTCTAGAAGAAATTATGTAGGAAACAATTTTGGAAAGGAACTTAAATCTTTTACTTGAAATAGGGTGTGAAAAAAGTTTCTTACAAAAATTTTCTCATGATTGAGCCACCTAAATGATACGAACACTCATTTTAAAGATAACAAAATTCTTTTTTCCCATGCTTCCACTGGGTTTTGGTGCTTTTCCTGTAATTTGAGGAGCAATTTCTGCTTGACACCTTAATTTCTTTTGTGTTAAATTTGACATAAGCTTATGAGAAAACTTTTATAATAGCTAGGTGGCAAGATATACCTACCTGTTACTTAGCACTTTTTAAATATCAAGGTCATATAAAGTCATATTATCCCTGCCATTTTTAATCAACTATAATAGTGGAAATTTTTCTTAACAGAGACTAGAGGTTCTTTCTATATTTGTCTGCTTTATAAATGAT